GGTTACTGCACAAGGCAGGAGCTTTCCTTCCTGGTTCTGCTGTTTCCTGTGCCTTTTTTTTTTTTTAATTTGCTATAGGGCACATTCACTTATCAGCGAGAGACAGACAAAGAGAAAGAGAAAGCATCTCTAGGGGGATGGCCATGCTGTAATCCCTTTTCCTCCACTGTCCTCTTGGGATTTGGGGCATGCATGCACAGGTGACTGGTATGTTTTTCAAGTCACTGGGTCAAGGGCTCCAACCATGTAGTTCACCGTGTGGGATCCAACTACCTTAACCACCATACCAGTGGCTATCCCCCTTCTTGTTCCAACTATTCAGGGGTCTGCAGCATGTGTAGTGGATATCCAGTCTCCTGTACCCACAGCATTCCAGTGCACCCCTATGGTCAGTTTCCTGCCCATCAAATTTCAGAGGTACTTCTGTGGTCAGATTTCCTTTCAGACTTGTAAGTATCTCAACAGTCAGCTTCCAGCTTTGACATGCCTGCAACCAAGTTGAGTGTTTCCTGCTTGCCCGGTGACAAGGCGCTCGTTCTAGCTCAGCCTACCCAAGAACTGCTCCCATGCAGTGAGCTGTAACCACACCTTTTAGGAGGAGTTCTGAATCTTGACCCTGGAGAAGGAAGGGACTCCCATTCCATTTCCCTTGGAAATCCTCCTTCAGCCCAAAGGTATTGTGCAGTGTTCTTTTTATCTCTTATGTAATATGGATTTTCTGTTAGAGGTTATAGTCTTTCTATTAAGCTTTCCCTTTCAAATTACTACATTGTTTCCATATCCTGACAGATCCTAATTGATACAGTAACTTTGGAAAACAGCCTTTAATCTCTCAGGGTGCTTAAAATGAGGCAACTAGGCCAGTGACCTCGACTGTTCTTTCTAGCTCTAAAGTGACATGGTTCTAGGAAATTCAGGGTTTTGTTCTTTTGTCTATGGGGTGTGCCCTAATATATTATATTGAACCCTAGGTTGTCTTCCCCAGGCTCACTCATAGTAAATGAATCTTCCTTCTCATTGGAATAATGGCTTTCTCCTTCTGGGTCAAAATATTAAGTCACAGCAGCAGCCAGTATCATTTCATGCACACAGTGGGCAGTCAAATATTACAAAGCCTCTGTGAAGGTTTTAACTTGGAAGCTATCTAAGGAATAAAATGGGAAACTGGAGGTTTTCGTATGAGTATGAGAGTTTAAAATACATTATAGATATCATATTTTCCATTTGTGAATATAAATATTGAAAGGATACATTAAGTGTAGAAAATGTTCTCTCTGATATTGTTTATAACACATTATAGAAGACTCCATTCACACTTCTATTACCACACAATTTAACATTTTTCTTTTACCTTTCTCTGTCTTTTATTGACTGTTCAGCCATTAATTTCTTTAGTTCTTCTAGACGCTGAAGATCTCTCATTTCCATTTCTTGCCACTTCTGCTCTTTCTTAGCCCAGTATCTTCTAATCTATTGTATAAATGTTACATAAAATTTAAATTAACAACGGAAATGTAAAAATGAGAGGAAAAGCTATAATATTACCCATTGGTTCAGTTTGCAAAGATTGAATTTAAATGGCACTTCATTTTTTGTTTCTTAGATCTGCCTAGAATATATTGGTAACAGAAAAATAAATTAAAACATGAAGACATGTCTTGAGAAACTTCTTGGTTTAACAATTTCTGAAGTGGAAATGTAACTTGGGCTGAAACCTACAGTTTTAATCTATAGCTAAAATAATTGACTTTCAGGGAACCACATTAAAAGCATATTATTGTCTCTAAGGCATATGATCTACCTGTTACTCAAGAATATTTTTATCCTTTCATGGTAATACAGTCTTTAACAAATAAAGCATTAAAACCATTTTTGGTTTAAAAGCATGGGCTTATTT